TCAATCATTCCACAGTTCCCAATTCAACATATTAAAGATCGGACATTAACAGAGTTCAACTTTTTAACCAGGCCACAAATGAATATTTCAAATATTATTTTTGGGTTATACACTTCTAAAGTGTAATCCTCGGTTCAATCAACTCATCAATTTAGACATACATACATATCGTCACCTAAAATGTAAAATAACGTAACATCACTTTTCTTAAGTTTACAGGCGAAGGAAAACGATATAATAGAAACCACCCATTTTGCAAGAAAAATTGAGTGTTAGTTAAAAAATAGTTACATATTGGTTATGTCTAACAGAGGAAGCAGAAAATTGTATGCTACATACACAATCGTTAGCAATAAAAAACCGCCGCCATTTTGTCAAATTAAAAAAAGTAAAAAAGTATATATATATGTATATATGTACATATACATATWTATATATATAAGTACCTCAATTTATACAAACAAGTTATTTGCATAAATACGAAATAAAATTGTTGTAGCTTATGTACTATAATTACAGTCATCTATCGTAATCGCATCGTAATAATGCACTTAGTAGCAAGAATTATGCAATAAGAAGAATAATTAATATTTATGCGCAAAAGATATGGAAATCTATGAATATAATGTACTCATATACTTGTTTATGTATATATATGTAATTATTTCATACTCAGAATCACAAGTACAAACATATTGTCATAGTTCAAAATAAGTACCCTTCAAAACTCATAAGTTTTTAGTATGAAATATTTCTACTATAAAGTTTGTCACAGTTACAGTTATCAAATATTGCTCTCAAAGACTTTTAAATATACCTTGCAAGATCTATTTTAGTACTTGTCAGCGGAATTCTTTCATCAAAAAAATTACTAATGCATATGCTTAGGTTTTTCAAGAATCCAAAAGCAAAGATAAGTCTCAAAGAAGACTTTATATACCAGATACTTACATATATGAGAAATTATATATGTACATACACATATAATTATAAAAATTTCCCTATCTATATAATTTATATTCTATATTTTCCAAGACTAAAACAAAATATGCAAAACTGAAATGAAAACCAAAATATGTAACATTTAATCCATTTTTTAAGAACTTCTATGCATATAGTATATGCATACATATGTACATACACATCCCATTTGCAATTGCAATATATGTGCAAATATACATTCAAAAGTATAATTTAATGCTACAAGCATATTAAGAAGTTCTTATGCGTTACCGTCGTAAAAAAATAACGAAAAACATCAAATTACAACAACATAATGACAACAATAAATCGCTTGGTGGTTAATGAAAATATAAAAAGCCAAATAACAATAAACTCATACCAAAGAAAAAGAAAAAATATATAAAAACAACAAAAACAACTAACCAAATAACAACATCAGCCACATTATAGCTCAACGGTAGCAACATGGGACCCAGAACTTTATCAACAAGATAAAGTCATTTATTAGTTGACTGCATGTTGACGTTGCCAAGTTTCGCAATGTATACTAACCCTCAATCCACATGGCACCAAACAACAAAAACGAGCACACTTTTTACCCGCTCTAAACCCATACATATGTATACCGACATGCTGGTGGTTGTTGGCTGTTAGGATGGCCATTAAATTGAAACACACGAATATTAAGACCTTATAAAGGAGCAAATAATATGCTGCTAACGTGGAYCCAAATGCGTCAGCGGCGGTACAGGAGTACGGCGAGTGGCACGAACACACAAAAATTATTRTGGCACCGTTACTTAGTGCTGAGCGTAGACAAGTTGGGGCTGAGGCTAGAGTTGGTGTATACATACATACATATACATATTGTATGGTATATGATAAAGTGGGGCAGCTGGCTACACCAATACCACAATAAACCGCTACTGAGCATTGAGAAATAAGCACATAAACGCCATAAAATGAAAATGAGCGAACTAATGTTTCTAATGAAGGCGAAGCAACGAGTGTGGACAACAGTAAGCGTTAACATAAACTCACAAATATGCGTATATTTATGTGTGAGCGATATACATATATGTATAGGTATATGATGTATATAACAACAACATATAAAAAGTACATAAAAAGGCGCGCCAAATTAAAAATAAGACAACCAAAATAGCCGAAGCGGTGCGGAAGTGAGTTTAGCGTTGATAATATTCCTTAAGCGGCTGATTACTTATAGCACATTGGGAGCAAGTGCTTCCAGCATGAGTAAATACTATATACTATATAAATACCGATGTATGTATATAAGTAAGAGTGTAGATATATGTATACATACATATATGCATAGGTAACTACGGCTACTTAACCGCTCAACATTCTAACATCAACCACCATCAGCATGGCAGTCTTCCACTCGCCAAACAAACCACCCACCCACTCAATAACTCAATGAGCTGGCTGCCATATAAATTGTGTTATTTCCTGTGTTCACACTCCCTGTTCTAATAACAAACCCATATGTGTGTGTGCACTCATTCCCCGTAGCATTACCGCTGCTGAACTCACATTATGCCATATCATACTTGATGAAACAGATAAAATCCARTTATTAAAGGTTTCACCCATCTCAGTTGCTCCAGCGTTGCGCACCATTTGTGGATAAGCGAAACAAAAGATTCGTTCATCGCTATGAATACGAAATTTGTATATAACAGCAAACACATGTCTATCAATATATGTATGTATTTGTATATACATACGTATAGGCGGTTCTCTTTGCGCTGCTGGGGCATGGCGCGACCGAAAAAGCTGTAGCATTGGCCATTTCTCATACTCAGAGAAACACAATGGTGGAGTGTCAAGGTTGCCAAGCTTTTGATTTAAAAATTGACATTTCGTGGCAAAGCACATCGTTAACTTAATCATGTTCAATCCGCTTGGTTTAGCTATTATCTTTTTTATTTCTACCTGCCAGTAACAAAATGGGCTGATTCCAGGAAGAATTTATGTCTTCAAGTTGCCTATCATCAATGATGCATTTTCAATAAAGCTAAGATAAAGAAAGGATTATTTTCAATAGATTTGTTATGCATAGTGCATAAAGTATAATAAAATGACATTTTCTAGAATTTTAAATGAATGAATAAGCCTTATTTAGTTCTCCGCTTCTTTAAGGGCTTTAAAATTCAATTATCGAAAACTATCAATTTTGTAAAAGTTTACAAATTTCGACATGTTATCAATTACATATTTCTATGAATAAAATTGTTTGTATGTAAATTTTGTAAATGTAGGAATTTTGTCAGGAAAGTATTGAATGTGCTCTTGTTTTTATGATTATTGTCTATACTATAGTATTTTGTATCAATTAATGGCTTGTTAGTAATAATGTTAATTTTTCCAGTCGTGATTTGGGTTCTGCGCATCTTTTTCGAGTATACGAACATCACGTGATCTCCACTCTCAGGCTGCTAATCGAAAATAAGGAAAAAATTATGCGAAAGGTTTTAATTGAAATCAAGCGTGCAGAATTACAGTCTGTAAAATGTTCTATTTAAGGGGTTATATGCAGTTAGAAGGCTGAAAAAAGCAAATTCTTCAGAACTTTTTCTGAGAAAACTTTTAAATTTAATGAATCTTTTCGCTGTATTTTAAGACTAAGTAAAGTTGATCTCCGGAGTTCATCTCCGGAAGCTCCTCTCAAAACAGACTTTTTGCAGTAAACCTCTTTGTCTTTTAACTAGATCCTCTGATATTAAAAAACCAAACAGATTTTGTTAAAGTTAAAATGTAATAATTAATGGAAGGAATAAAAAAATTTTTTTTTCACACAATAGCAACAAATAAATTTGTGGGCAAAATTTCGGCCTTAAATTGTTTAGAATAAAATATATATAGATGAGAAAAACATTTTCGATTAATTACTAAAAATATATTTAGGAAGCTCGTGTTAAAATTTGAGACTAATCGGATTAACTTTTTTCGAAAGTATACACCGGAACGATATAAMATTTTTTGTGTGAAATCATTAAGAAAATAATATAAAAAATCGATTTCTTAAAAATGATAACTATATATAACTCTTCAAACAAACTCTCAATTGGTAGATAAAAAAAAAAGCTTATAAATAATTAATAAAATCATTGATAGTTTCATGAAACGTGGGTACTAGTCCGGTGTCTACACCTATAAAAAATATATCCAAAATCGATCTTAAATACAGGTAACTAGTATAGATCAGTGTTATCAGCGAACGATATCCTTCGTTTATTGTTCTTACAGACACTCCCATTTTCTATAGAAAATATTTAAACTCTTGACCTAAATGTTTAAACAAAAAAATAATAATAATAGATCCAAAATACCTCACACACTTCAAATTTTTATACAATAAAGATTTCTACGAATAAATGCTATGAATTTTGTGTGAATTGTTGAATTTCTTGTTATATCTAAAAGTAGTGGGATCGTSAACGAAATTTTAATTATCGCTATTTATATTTATAATATGCTATACTGAAAGATTCAAAGTTTTATTAAAGGCGCATAAGCATACCTGCTTAAAAGAAAACTACCTGCGGTCCCAAAAGTACGATAAGTGTATTCGGATTCGGTACTATTAAGGCAATTTTTTATTACATGTAATTTGAGAGTTCTTTTTGCTCATGTGCTTAACAATGACTTTTTCCTTTTTTGGAAGCTTTACTCTTTTCTAAAGACTTCCCTAAAGAAAAATCAAAAGTTGTCAAATTTATTGCTTTTAGCTTTGTCGATTTATTTTTTCTTGGAACAAATAAATTTTTATAATCACAGATTGCCATGACCCAAATGTAGCACTGAGCAAGAAACAAAGCGGCAACTCTGTTGGGGAGTGAACTTATACGCCCAACGCTCTAAAAAATTTGTTGTTATCGTGCAGCTCATGCTTCATGGAAGCATAGAGTATGTTCTGCAATAAAATTGATTTTTAATAATTTGACAAAATTTTGATAAATTTATATTAATGCTATATTAAAAATATATATAATTAGGTATAAATTTCTCAGCACCTTTTTGTATTTTTTGCCACAGCCAAGCAATAAATGGTTCATCAGAAAATTTGCTGAACGATCATAATTGCCGTCATCGACGCATTATCATGCATTCGACAGACAAAAAAATACCACAGGTCACCGCAAGAGTCATTCATCGAGGCTTTACGAGACACATAAACACATGCACTCATACATATCTCAATGTAACATATGCATGTACCTGCTTCTGGTTGTTGCACTGTTGTACTGTTGCGGTGCATGACACTCTCTCTGACTTTGGTTTTGCCTTCTTTTCGTAAAAGAGCATCCGTATGCCTACTTATTGCGGCCTTTTCATTGGTTGGTTGGTTCTACTTGATTTGTTGTTGTCCGGTGTTAATGCTATTATCATAGAAAASGAACACATTTATGTAACAAAAGCAACATTGAGAGAAAACCGCCCGGTTTTCAAACATTAGATGTTGTGCTCTCTGTTGAAAACTATAAAAGGCGCACACGGAGTCTCTGCAAATCATTCGAGTTCTAGAAATYAACAACGTAGCATACTCATACTCTTACAAGCAAAGTGAAAAATTTCAAATACGTGAATAGTGTGACAGCAATTGTATTGAAAAACAAAAAAATAACCGACGCTTCTTCCCGGTTTGGATTTTAGTTTCAAAAGATATTAAATTAAAAATAAAATAAACGACAATGCATACATACAGATCATATGCAGCACATGTGCACGATAGCGTGAACCCAGATCAGAAACCGTTAGTTGGCGATTTGATTGCCACACAATACGTGAAATCACAGACACCGCCGCCTTCACCAAACGGTGAGTAATCACGAACGTAATCATGCCGAAAACGGCATTACGATAACGATCTCTTGCTAAGCGCTGCCGCGAACGCCTTAACTTAAGCAACTATACTAATAAATTTTTTCTTTTATATTTCATTCAGGATCTCACTCCAGTCCCGACACATCACTAAACAGCAGTCGTATGAGCGGCAATGATATACCTACAGATCCATCGGTGCGGCGTTACCGTACCGCCTTCACACGCGATCAATTGACACGTCTCGAAAAGGAGTTCTTTAAAGAGAATTATGTTTCGCGTCCGCGACGWTGCGAGCTAGCTTCACAATTGAATCTGCCCGAATCAACGATTAAAGTTTGGTTCCAGAAYCGACGCATGAAGGATAAGCGCCAACGCATTGCGGTCGCCTGGCCCTATGCAGCCGTCTATTCCGATCCAGCCTTTGCCGCCTCTTTACTGCAAGCCGCCGCCAACAGTGTGGGCATGCCATATCCACCGTATGCCACACCAGCCGCCAATCCAATGTTAGCCGCTACCACCATGCCAATGCCCGGCCACTATGCACCATACCGTTACAATCCATACGCACCGATGGCAGCACGCGCTGTGCCACCACCAACAATGCAACAGCATCACAGCGTCTCCGCACATGCCTTGGCGGCCGCAGCCGTCTCATCGGGTTATCCCAACGTATTGGGCGCCATAGCACCACCACACCCTGCGTACGCCGGATTCAATAATTTGCCACCGAAACAGCAGACACCACCACTCGATTTGCAATCATCCGCATCGTCGCACTCATCTACGCTCTCGTTGAGCCCCACCGGTTCGGATCACACCAAAGTTTTCGAACGCACACCGGYGACCGTTGCCATCCCCAGCGCAACYGTAACCAGCAGCCGTAGCAACAGCAGCGCGGAATTCATTAGTGTCACACATGAAAGCAACAACAACACTTTGATTGCCACAAATATTAACGGGACTTTGTATAACAGCGAAAATATTACCACCCCACTGCCAGCCACCATCAATGAACTGAATCATCATCTAACCGCCACACAGTCGGTTGGCCTATTGACGAGCCAAAATAACGGTACAACAAGCGGTGCCACCAAACGTCACGCATACACACCACCACAAACAGCTGTCTCAGAGCCGAAACCGAAGCTCTTTAAGCCCTACAAAACCGAGTCTTAAGCCTGCTTAAGTTTCATGCTTTGGGGGGTGGGGCGTAGAGACAGACAATGTTGTTGATTGGTGAGCAGCCGACGGGCTTAAAACTAGTGGTGAGGAGTATGGAAGCGGAGCATAGTCTAATAATTAAACAAATTAAGTGCTGTGATAAACAAATTTATGTGTCTGTATGTATATGTGCTACTATTTGCGCTTAATCTGGCATTAAGTGTTGTTAGTTATTTAATTTCCGGTACGAATTAGTGATTTAAAGTAATTAAGTAATAGTGATTACTGCAAATTAAGTATTTAATAGTAGAAAATCGGCAAATCCAAGTACAGCGGACTGTGGTAGGAGATCATAAATAAAATAATAATACAGGAAAATGTAAAAAGTTGTGTAAAATAATTTTAAGTAAATGTAATTAATATTAGATAATTATATAATTTTAAAGTTAAGGCTCAACGAGAGCGTATTTTAGTTATGAGCGTGTAAAAAGAAGAAGATAAAAAATAAAACTGTTTTATTGTCTTATATAAGAAATGTCTTTTACTTCACTTTTTTCATAAAAAAAATTATTAAAGAAATATTTTTCAAAATTGAGGTTATGTATATATCCAAAACCAAAACGCTATAAAATTTAACACCAGGTAAGCAGACACGCTACCAATTTTGATACCAAAAACAATAACAAAAATACTTTTTACCTAAGCTAAATATACGGGATATTCCTAAGCTTCTTGTCAAGGTCAAACTCTTCCACCTGAGTTCTTAGAAAACGCTAATATTGCCATTTATGTTAAAGAGCAAAACGCTTAGCGAGATTTTGCCAAACAATGAGGACATTCGAGTACAACCTTAGGTGATGTTAACCAGGAAGCATAATTATCAGTTATGAAAATTTAGGTGTAAATGTAATGTAGGTGGATGCGAATTTATGAGTTAAAATATTACTAAAATAGAATAGAAAAAAGTAGGATCACACTAAAGACAAAAAAAAATAAAAGAATATATCCGACAAGGGAAGACGAACACTCAAAACGATCAAATAGCAGACAAATGGTAGATAATTCCCCCCATAACCTTCAAAAAGTATGAAAATATTAATGACAATTGAATAGGCTCACCTTTAATTAATATTCTGTGGTCCACCTGGACTCTATGGTTGTTATTAATGGCGAAACCATTCCATTGCCATTATTATTTTCAATAGCAAAACACATGAAATGAAAAATAAATGCTACTAATATTTATATATTTAACGATCTATGGTATATTTTAACAATACAGACCAATCTATATTTGGTAATATATATACATATATACCTATAACATTTCTACCTTTTACTTCATATTATATTACACTCCTAGCAAATTCTTATACAACTCACTACCCTCCAAAAGAAGCTCACGCTGGCAGGCACTGCATGCAGGCATCGGAACCCGCCGCTGCTCAGCTGTTTGGCATGCGTCGGCGGCGTGCCGTGGGTGGCTCCCGCTGGCGAACGTGTCCTTCAAGAACGTAAAATTGGTGGGCAGCAACAAATATTGCTGATCTTTCGAAAACGCAATAAATGATTTGGGATATATACATAAAGGCAGGGCTAATATCGAGGATAACTATTTGAAATTTGTAACTTTGCCACGTGACTCTACACACAGCTTGATTTACTTTGTTTTCTTGACTCCTGGTGTCCAATGGTCACTAGAAATATAAATATCATTAAATCGTAGGGAGCACAGCACAGTGTTCCACAACATTAAAGGTAATTAAGCAATCTAAATAGCCAATTGTGCGAGATAACAATTCCTACATTGTGCATATGTCAGTCGATTATTAACTATTAATTTATTGTCATTAAATTTTGTATTTTTTTATAACGACATGTTTTGGCACACAGTGTGACGAATTTGGTAAATTCAAAATAAAAAAAATAAAAGAGGATTTAAAATTAAAAAAAAAGTTTGTTATTTTCGATTATAGTCAATAATTACCATTATTAATGATAACTTATCGACCATTATTCATGGTAATTATCAACGAAGTCTTAATGAAATCGTCCAATATACATATATATTTCCACAAGTTATTTTTTCGAATGACCAATACTGAAAAGAAGATCTTTGAAAATAATACAKTTTTTTGGTTTAAAAAACATATAATTTTTCAACATGTTCAGAGCTATCTCAAATATCATCCCCCGCAACACTGTATTTTCCCTCGTTCTCCCATTAGATATGGCATCTCATCGTCAGAATAATAAGTACAAGGCTGTACAAAATGATTAAAGCATTTTGTGTTTACCCAAGATAGGTTAGAATGGGTAGAGGAAGCTAATTCCGTCCTGCTATTTGGTGCAGGGGCTTGGACGATGACATCAATGAGAGTTTTCGAGAGAAAAATTCTGCGGCGACATTGACATAGTTCAGCGAATTAAAAAACAGTGATTACTTTCGCTAGGTCGTGTTGCCCGAATGGACGAAACCCCTCCAACTATGAGATACTTCAACGCAGTACTCACTGGGGAAAAAGTGAAAGAAGAAGACCTCCACTCTGTTGGAAAAACTAGGTAAGAAGGACCTGGCTAGACTTGAAATCTTAAATTTGCGCCAAACAGCGAAAAGGAAGAACGACTGCCGTCGTGTAAACTCGGGTATAACCGCGTAAACGTAGTTTATGCCAATAGAGACGAAGATATTAAAAACTGAGGGACTGGTTCCCGTATATACAGACAGACTAGCATGGTCGTCGTCTCTGTATAGCTCTCCAACAGTTCCTTCTGGGAAGCTTCGTGTCAAACTTCATGTACTCTGTTTGGATTATAAAAAGTGGATGAACAGATCTGGAAGGACATGTAAAAAAAAAGTGACTAAAAGTTAAAGAAAATAGGCCGATTTAAAGGCTATTAATCGTTCGGAGTCTAATACTTCCATTATTCTAATTTTCATTCAATTTTCAATTTAATTTCCAAATTTTTTATTGTTCACCGGAATGGTTTTACACCCAGTTAATGTTAGTGCCCTCATCCTCTTATTCATTTGTATTTATGTATTTTTTTTTTTCTTCCACTTTTACGCATCTGTGTGCATCCTTTGGCTCTGCCAATTGTCATAATGGAAATATCATAATCCGTAAAACGTCCTCATTGCTTTATGACCTCACCCCCCAAAAAGTATGAAGTATACTTGCCACATTGGCAACGTAAGCACAAAAACAACAAGCTATTTTGGTATGTACATTTATTATTTGCCATCCTTTCATTCGCTCTGCGTCAGAAAATCAAATTTGCATTTGATTGTCATAAAAGCAGCAATATGTAGCTTGTGCTATTGTTTTTGCTCATCTTTTAAATTCTTCTTCATATGTTCGAGAGGTTTGGGAATAGACCACCTTATATATATTTTTTTTAGAAATTTTTATTAATTCGAGGATTTCTCATAAGGAAATGTCTTAGTAAAATGTTTTTATTTCCTCTCAAGCACTTAAAGTTAAATTTTCTTGTCGAATTTAGTAATTTTTAAAGGGCAAACTCATGTGACAGTCTACAAAASACGAGATAGAAAATATAGATAGAGATATATATATATTTTTTTCATTTTACACAAAATATGGATTGTAATTTTACTATTACAGCGAAATGAGTCTTAACTATGCTGATGTTATTCACGAATAAAACCGAACTACCTCAATTGCAACTTCCCTCACTCGGTGATACTACAACTTCTATATCCCTCCAAGGTTGGACTTGTATAGTGACTTCCAGATCAGAATACCCTCTAGCTGTGCCCAAARAATAAGGTRACATTTGAATTTAAACTGCGTGCGTCGAACGATT